GGAATGAACTAGTGAATGTGAGATATCTCTCTCTCTCTCTCTCTCTCTCTCCTCTCTCTCCTCTCTCTCTCTCTCTCTCATTATCTTTGTCAGACACACATGTCCTAATCTCTCCCCCTCTCTCCGTCATTCTGCCTCTCAGATAAATGAATAAATCTTAAAGAAAGACCACCTGCTCCACGTGCTTAATTAAAGCTGTACCCCCATCCTTGACATTCTATTTGAAAAGAAAACTTAGGCTCCAAGAAGGAGCTGATGTTTGTCTGATTCAAATCAGTAACCAGACACAGCCGTGGCTACTAAGGAGCTGCCGACAGACGCTTTGGAAAGGAAAGTCTCTCCACGTGGCTGGGAACCGTTTCTATCTTGTGGCCAAACACATGTGGCAAGACAGGAAATGACCCCCCTTGGTGCCGACTTCATCCCTGCTTAATTGCTGTTTGGTGATCAGTTACAACACAGAATCCATTCATTAAGCTAACAGCGTCCCTGGTGCACCTGTTGCTTTTTTCCCACCCCCGGGAGTTGCCTGGCTGAAGGAGCTAAGATCCTGCCATAGAACTTGGTGAAGCTGTTTAATAAGATGCCAAGGCCTGTGCTGGGTGGGCGGCCGGAATCCTTGCCAGAGCGAGCAGGTTTGGGGAGGGAGGAAGCCTTGATGAGTGGCCCGAGAAACAGCCTGGAAGCTGGCAGCCCAGCCAAGGGGCCCCTCTAATTCAGAACATGAGGTGGCACAGAAATGACATTTGATCTACTTGAAAAAAAAAAAAAAGGAGCTGATGGACAGCAGCCAGGGCCCACTTGGAGGCGTTCGTCCAGGAGTTGGGAGAGCAAGGCAATGCCTAATTTGGGTGGTCCTCCCATCATCAGCTATGTGGCAGGAGCATGCTTTTTTTTTTTTTTTTTTTTTTGAAAAGCTCTGCGTGCAGATGGAAGAGAGAGGAATTCCAGCAGTTTCCCGACAAAGACTAGGGCTAGGCTGTGGGGGCCACAAAGCTCCCAGCAGGGAGGGACCCTGGTGCTTGGCTCTCGCCTGCGAAGGGGTGAATAGGTAGCCATCTTCACCGTAGAGGCTCCTGGTAAACACTGACCATGCCGCCATAGACATCTGGGCATTCCTGCTGCCTCTGTTTAGCAGGTGGCCACTGGGTTGTGCCCTGAGGGAGGGGATGTACAAGGAGTAAAAAAGACGGATGAAGAAGGTCAAGTTCACAGGGGTCTTCAGCAGACTGTGTGTGGAGCACCACAAGGGCAAAGGGGGCGTTCTGGGTGCTGGGACGGACAGGGAGGGCAGAGGGTGCAGGGAGGAGGTGGCCACAGGACCACGGAAGACAGACACGGCCATTGTCAAGCCCTGGACCTCAGGCTGAGCCGAGAGCTTCCTGAGAAGCTCCTAAAACCTTGACCCTGAGAGGTCCAAAGCAGAAAAGAACTGCACAGAGCTAGGAGACCCTCGGGTCCCTGGGAGACATTCACCAGGCCTTTTGCTTTATATCAGTTGCCACTCACAGGAGAAGGCAGCTTTCTCAGGCCACTTCTTTTTAATATGTGCTTTTAATACATGTTTATATATGTACTGACACCCCCCCCCACACACACACAGGGGGTTGGTTGGGTCTGTTGGTTCTGCAACAGCTGGGGCTGCATCAAGCCAAAGCCAGGAGCCAGGAATTCAATCCAGAGCTCCCAACTGGGTAGCAGGAACCCAACAATTTGGGCCACCACCTGCTGCCTTCCAGGTGTGCACTAGCAGGAGACTGGCATCAGGTGCAGAGCCAGAACCCAAACCCCAGCAATCTGATATGAGGACTTGGGTGTCCCAAGTGGTGTCTTAACCACTACGGCCACTTTTTGATCGGGGGTATAGCTAAATGGGGTATTCTCTATCATGCCACCGTTGGGTTGGTACGTACTCAGATCAAATGTTACTTATTCAATGTTACTTATTCAAAAGACAGGAAGAGGAAGCCTGGGAGGTAAGTGCTCTCCTAGAGCTACTCCTGGAACTTCCCAAAAGGACGGTCAAGTGCAGCAAAAGGTGGGTTAGTGCTGGAATCCGCCTGGCTCAGCACCCTGACTCCAGCCTTCTGGATAGGAAGATGTGGGTATCACAGGTGGGGTGCTCTGGGCCCTGCCCCATTCCTGCTGGGTTCCCTTTAGGCTCTTCTGTCCCGGTACCCTTGGTCTCCATCCCTTCTTCCAGCAGTCTGGGCTGAGGCTAGCTGAGGTGGTGATGGATTTTAATCTCTCTATTCCAAGACACAACTTCTTAGACAGTCCCCCACGCCACCCCCACACACACCGCCATCTCTGGGTTGGTTGTGCCTATTCTAAACATCTCATTCCCTCCTGAACCCCTCAGGGGCTCCCCATACCATCAGGACCAAGTCCCAACTCAGCCAGCCCCCCACCAGCATCTCCTAGGGACCATGAGAGATGCAGATGCCAGATCAAAGGCCCCACATAGGTGGCACCCAGGAGTTGGTCACACATGCCTTGCAGGCACAGGCGCTACACATGCAGTATACAAAACACACCTGGGGCACACCTTACCAGGCCTCTTACCATCTGCGTCTCCATCTCTCCTCTGCCTTATCCCTCAGCTCCCCATTCCGTCATCCACTCTGAGCCCCAAACGCTTGTCGTCTGTCATCTCCCAGCACCCAGGGCTGCGCTCCTTGTGCTGTGGGGTCCTGTCTCTTCCCGACCCTTTAACTGACAGCAAGGACCTGCAGTATCGTGCTATGTGCCTGTATATGGCTGTGAGCAGCGTTTACCACAAGATCAAGAAGGATGAGGGCCCTCTGCGACACTCACGGAAATGTCACTGCAAGATAAGTTTATTTTGGTGCAAGGAAACCTAAAATCCACGCAATTTCTTTCCACGGTACATATTTCCACAAACTTTTGAAGACACCCGCCCCCCTGCATGGATTTCAAGGTGTTTTTTCACCTAAGCAAGCTTACTTTTTAATTCCATTTTTCCATCAGTTTTTGGAAGTAGCATCCTATTTGTTGAGTGGCTGAATGAATGAATGAAGATATGCATTTGATTCTTTGTCCATACTGCTTTGCACACTAACCCCGGGACAGGAGCAGGTATGGGTTTCCCGTCATCCCCTGCTTCCCACAGGCACTGTTAGCCAACTGTATACAGAAGTAGAGCTCAATAAATGAAAATGAGTTAAATGGATTTGAATGGAATTGAAAATGGTTGGCTTGTGCTGCAGGGTTGGGTTCTGCTTTGCTCACAGCCACTTTTCTGTGCCTCAGTTTCCTCGTGCTGTCTGCCTCCCCTCCCCCAGAGTTCCTGCAAGGATCCAGTGACTCACGATTTGACCAGCAACCTGCTGACATGGCTCATCCACCTTCAGAGAGAGGCTGAGGGTCTGGTCTGTGAGAACTGTCCACACTGGCAGCAGAAGGAACACAATGGTTGTCTTTCCAAGAGCCGGGCTCACTGGAAAGCGAGACAGCCATGAAGTGGGAAAATTCCATGAGCCTTTACATGTGCACATGTGGGTCTGTGCGTGTGTGTGTGACTGGTGAACGTGACCCTGCATGTGAACACACGTGCTGAGAGAGCAAGAGAGGTGGCATCCTGCTCAGGGCTTCCACGTATAAACTCAGACCCAGGGAGAGTCTGTTTTAATTTTTTATGACTGTCAGGGCTGGCATCCCATAAGGGTGCCGGTTCGAGTCCCGGCTACTCCACTTCTGATCCAGCTCCCTGCTGTTGCCCTGGAAAAGCAGTAGAAGATGGCCCAAGTCTTTGGGCCCCTGCACCTGTGTGGGAGACCCAGAAGAAGCTCCTGGCTCCTGGCTTCTGATTGGCCCAGTTCTGGTTGTTGCAGTCTTTTGGGTAGTGAACCAATGGATGGAAGACTTTTCTCTGTCTGTAGCTCTGCCTTTCACATAAATAAAAAATCTTTAAAAAAATTTTATGACTCTCAAGCCCGCTGATATTTTTGGATGCGTTTCCTCCCAATATTATAGAGTTTGTGCAAAGCTCTTTGGAGACACCTACAGATACACACACACACACACACACACACGTGCATACACACCCCTAGTCAGCACAAAGTTGCCCAAGGAAATTCGTTCACCAGGGTTCCATTTGCACTTGCTGGTTAACCATCTGGCACTCTCTCAGGAGATCTCGTGAGTTTGCTGAAACGCTCCTGCTAAAGGTTTCCTCTTCTTCCAGTACTCACGATCCAGCTATGCCTACCGACAAACCAGTGCCGGTCTTCCAGGGTGGGCGTGTCACTCAGGTTCCCAGGCAGCACCTGTTCCGTGTTTCTTGGAGGCGGTACACAGGTATATGAGGTTGTAACGACAGCATATGCTCATATGGTTTTTTTTTGGACAGGCAGAGTGGACAGTGAGAGAGAGAGAGAGAGAGAGAGAGAGACAGAGAGAAAGGTCTTCCTTTTGCTGTTGGTTCACCCTCCAATGGCCGCCACGGCCGGTGCGCTGTGGCCGGCGCACCGCGCTGATCCCATGGCAGGAGCCAGGTGCTTCTCCTGGTCTCCCATGGGGTGCAGGGCCCAAGTACTTGGGCCATCCTCCACTGCACTCCCGGGCCACAGCAGAGAGCTGGCCTGGAAGAGGGGCAACCGGGACAGAATCCGGCACCCTGACCAGGACTAGAACCTGGTGTGCCGGCGCCGCAAGGCGGAGGATTAGCCTAGTGAGCCGCGGCGCCGGCCTTCATATGGTTTTTATTTACAGATGAGCAAGTGACTCTGAGGCTTATTCACATCTTCCTTTCAGGATGAAACAGGCACACGGATCCTCTGAACACCTGAACAACCATTCACGAATCCTCTCCTTAGTTTCTTTAGAGCAACAAACAGCAAGCGCCCCTCACCTTCTCCATAAGACTCAGAACAGATAACAGCTACCAAAGGCGAGAGCGGCAGAAGCTTCCAGAAGTCCTACAAGGCCGCTGTGGGCCGGTGACTTTACTCCCTTCCTGGGCAGAGATGGGTTCCTACCTGTGGTCCCCAGCCATGGCACGGGTACAGTATTGCTGTGTGGTTCTCCAGCGGCCCCTGGTCCAAGCACACATCTTTCGCCTTGTTGTTGCGAAGCTGCAGAAGAGACAAGACATCATGTCAGAGCTCATTTCCAGAAAATTCCCCTCTTCAACCAGCTGGCCTCCCACCACGCCTGGGTTCTGATTTCACGTTGGGAAAGCCACAAGACCTCCCCAAGTGAGGGCCAAGTCTCAAGTCCACAGGGTCATCACTGTAGGCAGAAACACAACGTCCTTGAGTGGGTGGCATGGATGCAGCCACCTGTGTGTGCCCTGGGTGCACTGTCCCCAACCCTCACAGTTCCTCCTCTACCATAATAGAGAATCTTAAGGGTGAGCTGGGAAGAGCAACACTGGTTACCCACATGGGAGGTTTCCAAGCATCTCAGGGAAGCCTGAGATGGGGCCTGCGATATATGAACAAATCCTACATGGCCTTGAGCGCCAACATGGGCTTTAGTCATCCCTGGACTCGCAGGCCAGCTTCTTGGTTGCGGCATGGAGGCATGAGCAAGCAAGCAAGCCCTCTGCCATTGCAAAGAGCGCTAGCAAGATTGAGCCACAGACTCAAAAAAATATTTATCGAATGCCCGTGCTGTGCCAAGTGCTGTCCTAGGTGTTTGGAACACACCTGTGTGTGGGGGGGAATAGACAAGTGTCCCTGTAAGGGCTTGGAGAACACCTTGGGTGTCCCCCAAACGGCCATGTGTTGGAGGCTTGATCCCTGATGTGTTAATGGGTTAAGGATGGAAATTAATCCCATAAGGGTGTTGGAGGATGACTGGGTTTGATGAGGTTGTTAGGGTGGAAGCTTTATGACCAAATCCTGGTGGCCTTAGGAGAGACTACATAGAGAATGATTGTGCTCTCTGATTCTCTCTGTGCTTTCCAGCTTCCGTGTAATTCCTCCACCATCACCAGCCTCCACTCTATCGGACCCCTGGCTACTGGGCTGTGAACCTTCACGACGGCAAGCTGAAACGAACCCTCTTCATCCTAAAGCTCCTCTCAGGAATCTGTGATAGTGATGGAAAGATGAGTAGTTCAGTCCCCAAGACAAAGTCCCTGAACCCGGCTGTTTCTCTTTGGAAGTGAGTGGGAACCTCCCTAATTCGGTTCCCCCTGGCTCACTGCGGCTCTGTCTCGGCTCTCCTCCCATCCACCACCCCACGAACTCCAGGAGTGAGAAAAAAGCCTGGTTGTTGGGGTTTCCCCCATATATATTTATAGTGCACCCCACAGATTATAATCTCCATAGGAATCAAATTACCCAGGGGTCAGTTGAAAAGACAGGTTCAAGCTGTGTGGTGGTTCGGGGGAGTGAGCATTTTTTTTACAGGAGTTTAAAATAATTTTACGTTTATAAGGATCACACATCTCACAAAAACACCTAGAAAAATATAAGCAAGATAACAGTGGTTCAACATCTTTTTTTTTTTTTTTTTTTGACAGGCAGAGTGGACAGTGAGAGAGAGAGACAGAGAGAAAGGTCTTCCTTTGCCATTGGTTTACCCTCCAATGGCCGCTGCGGCTGGCACACCGCGCTGATCCAAAGGCAGGAGCCAGGTGCTTCTCCTGGTCTCCCATGGGGTGCAGGACCCAAGGACTTGGGCCATCCTCCACTGCATTCCCGGGTCACAGCAGAGAGCTGGCCTGGAAGAGGGGCAACCGGGACTAGAACCCGGTGTGCCGGCGCTGCAAGGCGGAGGATTAGCTTAGTGAGCCGTGGCGCCGGCCTCAACATTTTTTCATACAAGCAATTTTTCCCCCCAGTTTTAGGACAATTTGATTTTGTTCAGTTTTGGCTGTAATGAGCAACTTGATGGACAAAACTTGGTTCACATTTCAGATTTTCTTGAGAATAAAATCCTAGAACTGGGGTTGCACCTTAATGTCCTTAAAACATGCCTGCCAGCTGCTGTCTGGGAGGTTGGAACTAATTCCTGACTAATTCACACACCCTGTCTCACCATTTAAAAATACTGTGTTTTGAGAAGGGAAGAAAGACCCCTTGTCATTATAAATTTACCATTAACAGTGCGTTGGAATGTTTAATGTTTAGCAATAATTCTCCTGTTTGAGAACTGTCTGTCTACCTCCCAATTGGGATCATAAGTGGTTTTGTTATAGATTTGCCAAAACTCTTTACATATTAAGGATAGATGAATGTGTTTATGGCATATTTCTTTCACATCTTTTTTTTTCAGGTTGCCTGGCTTTAAAATCCTGTTTCTACTGCTGTTGCAATGAATTCTATCACCCAGTAATTTAACAAAGAGTTACCAAGGGCTTGCTAAGTGCTTGGCATGGAGCTAAACTTCACACACACCTGCACAAAACAGTCCCTGAGCAAATACGAGGAGGATGCCCTTGACCTTCTGGGAGTTCAGAGAGTGAGTCCTAGCCTTGTTCTCCTACAAGGAACACCCAGAAGCAATGCTGGCCAAGTTGTATTCCCCACCTCCGTGGAACATGGCAGCCACATGGGCTTCTGCCTTATCGTATGATTCTGCACATGCATGTGTTACACATGTGTGTGAGGGATTTCCCATAAACCAAGGCTAAAGGACAGGAGCCGGTGCTGTGGCTCAGCAGGTTAAGGCATTGCCTGTAACACCTGCAATCCAAATAAGTGCAGGCTCAATATTTGGATGCTGGGCTGGAGCTGTGGTGTAGTGGACTAAACCTCAACCTGTAGTCCAGGCATCCCATATGGGCACTGGTTCAAGTCCCAGCTGCTCTACTTCCGATCCAGCTCTCTGCTAATGGCCTGGGAAAGCAGCAGAAGATGGCCCAAGTGCTTGAGCCCTTGCACACATGTGGAAGACCTGGAAGAAGCTCCAGGCTTTGGATTTGCCTAACTCTGGTCATTGCCGCCATTTGGGGAGTGAACCAGTGGATGGAAGATCTCGCTCTCTCTGTCTTTCTCTCCCTGTGTCTGTAATTCTACCTGTCAAATAAATACATAAAAACTTTAAAAAATCTGCATGCTCCACTTTCTGATCCAGCTCTCTTCTAATGTACCCCAAACACCCACGAGGGAGACTTGGATGGAGTTCTGGGCTCCTGGCTTCCGCCTGACCCAGCCACAGCCATTTGGGGAGTGAACCAATGGATGGAAGATTCTCTCTCTCTCTCTCTCTCTCTCTCTCTCTCTCTCCCTTTCAAATATATAAATACATCCTTAAATTTTTTTTTTCTAAAAAAAAGCAAAAGGTCAAAAGAAGGTGAGCAGACGTGAGCAGGGGTCAGGGTCAGTGTGGGCCACGAGGATAGCCCGTGCTGACCAGGGGATTCCAAGCACAAGAGCAGGAGGCCCATTGCCTGAGCGGGGGGAAGGGAGTGCCTCCCACACATGTCAGAGCTGGGGTGTCTCTCTTCAGAAACTGTTCTAAGATCTTCTAGCTGTCTCTCGCAAGTTCACGTGTTGGAAATGTAATCTCCACGTTCCCATGTCGATGGTATTTAGAGGTGAGGCTTTTGGGAGGTGACAAAGATTGGATGAGGTCATGAGGTGGGCCCCACGACACTCTTGTAAGAAGAGGGAGAGAGAGACCTGAGCCTACAAGTCGCTCTGTCTCACCGTGGGCTGTCCGGATGCCCTCACCAGGTCGTGGCAGTACTAGGTTCCTGGACTCTCAGACTCCCATGCCGTGGCCTGGGTAAGCCTCTCACTTTAGAAAAGACCTGATCTCTTGGGGCCGGCGATGTGGCATAGCAGGTAGAGCCGCCACCTGCAGTGCCGGCATCCTATATGGGCGCTGGTTCGAGACCCGGCTGCTCCACTTCCCATACAGCTCTGTGCTATGGCCTGGGAAAGCAGTGGAAGATAGCTCAAGTACTTGGGCCCCTGCACCCACGTGGGAGTCCTGGAAGAAGCTCCTGGCTCCTGGCTTTGGATTGGCACAGCTCCGGCCGTTGCGGCCCTCTGGAGAGTGAACCAGCGGATGGAGGACCTCTCTCTCTTTCTCTGTCTCTCCTTCTCTCTCTGTGTAACCCTGACTTGCAAATAAATAAATGACTTGGCCTCAGCTATTTTGTTATAGCAGCAGAAAATGGACTACGGCACATCAAAGAGAGATGATTAACCATTTAACAACCAGGGAAAGGGACTTGTTCAGTGGGCCTGGGCTCCATGGGCCCCAGCACTGTTGTAGGGTGAGTCCACTGGCTGACCCCTCTCCTATTCCCCTGTACTGGGGCCCTGGCATGGCACAAAGAATGAGCAGGAGTGTGCATTTAAAAATACAACCGCCTGCATCATGGTTTACATTGTGTTGTTGTCTGATTTGATTAAAACGTTATTCATAAAGAATATGAAACGTAAAAAAGATATTCATAATGGTTGGATCTCAAATCCCAGATAACATTAGCAAAACTGAAATGTTGACAAGGAGAACAGGAGAAACTGTGTTAAAATTCTTTTTTTTTTTATTTTTTATTTTTTTTTGACAAGCAGAGTGGACAGTGAGAGAGAGACAGAGAGAAAGGTCTTCCTTTGCCGTTGGTTCACCCTCCAATCGCTGCCGTGGCTGGCGCACCGTGCTGATCCGATGGCAGGAGCCAGGTGCTTCTCCTGGTCTCCCATGGGGTGCAGGGCCCAAGCACCTGGGCCATCCTCCACTGCACTCCCTGGCCACAGCAGAGAGCTGGCCTGGAAGAGGGGCAACCGGGACAGAACCTGATGCCCCGACCGGGACTAGACGTGTGCCGGCGCTGCAGGCCGAGGATTAGCCTCCCACACCCTTGGGAGGCAGCGGCGATGGCTGAAATTCTTGAGTCCCAGACACCCATGTGGGAGACCCGGATGGAGCTCCTGGCTCCTGGCTTTGGGCTGGCCCAGCCCTGGCTGTTGCAGTCATTTGGGGAGCGAATGTCTTGTCTGTCTGTCTCTCTTTGTGTGTGTGTATGTCTCTCAGCCTTTCAAATAAAAAATGAAAATAAATAAATAGAAATTTAAACTCTACTTCTCTGTAGGGAGACCTGGACAAGCAGGAGAAGGCACGACACAGCAATGGCCCTAAAATGGCAACATGCGATATATCTGGGAATAGGGATTCGGAATACGTTTTGTTTCCATCTTTATTATTTCCTACTGGGTGGACATATTGGAATTTTGATTTTTCAAACATAGGAATAGTTGAACAAACCAACATGTGGTCTCTGTGTTATGTCCACAGACAGCACTGCATAGCTCCAGGAACATCTTTTATAGCACGGATGATGTGAACAGCAGTCCCTGGAGTTGTGCAGTGTACAGACTGTGCAGCTGTCCGTGGCAGTCCTGGCCGCCTGCTGGCATTTTCCTGTGTGTCTTCTTTCTCTTTTAATACCTGTTGTTTCTTCTTTTTGTGACATTACTGTATATCAGTGGAAATTGGTAAAACAACTCAGAGGACCCATACACAAAAGAGCCTGCAGTGCCCTTACCAAAGATAACTACCTTCAAGATTCTTCAGTTGCTTCCAATCTAAAAGAGTAGCTAATCCAGTTTTATAGCCCCTAAAGCATTGTAGTCTCAATATTTTTCTCACGTCACTCAAGTTGTGTACACACCATTTGTAATGGCTTCAAAATATTCTAAACCAGGAATCTCTTGGATTTAACTAAACTTCACAAGAACGTTTATTGCAAAAAAATAAAATAAAATAAAATCACTGAGAGACGAACAATTTTACCCTTGAATCTTTGTCCCTATTTCAGATTATTTGCTTGGGGTGTGAGTGGAGGAGAAAGTATGGCTGTCATTAAGCTTTTTAATACACATGGCTCAAATGGCTTTTTAAAAAGCTGGTTTCTATTTGCTGGAGGATATGTGATTTTTCATATTTTCAAGACCTTGCCTATAAAGGACCAATGCACATTCCGAAAATGAATCTTGATTTGTTCGTTAGGAGGGAAAAAAAGGGCTGCCTCAAGGTCTTTACAATTTTACTTTGATTTCTCTTATTTGGAAAAAAGTTAAAATTTCTGTATGTTTTTGGACCATCTGTGTTCTCTCTTGTGTATGTAAATGACCCTCTTTGCACTTTTTTTTTTTTTTTGAGAGGGGTTATTTTGCTATTTAAGTCGATTTTAAATTAGAGTTGGTTTGTGGGGCTCACTACATCATAATGGCATTGTCCATTCATCTACAAGACTCATAGCACACACACACTGTTCCCAGACCGGCATTTCATTTCTCTATTTACATGATGTCTACATGCTTTTACTCTTTCTGAGCTCAAATCCATCATGGCTTGCTTCCATGACTTTCTTTTTTTCTTTTTTTTAAAAAAAGATTTATTTATTTATTTATTTATTTGGAAGGCAGAGTTACAGAGACGCAGAGGCAGAGAGAGAGAGAAGTCTTCCATCTGCTGGTTCACTCCCCAGATGGCCACAATGGCTGGAGCTGCACCAATCCGAAGCCGGGAGCCAGGAGCTTCTTCCAGGTCTCCCACGTGGGTGCAGGGGCCCAAGGACTTGGGCCATCCTCTATTGCTTTCCCAGGCCATAGCACAGAGCTGGATCGGAAGTGGAGCAGCCGGGACTTGAACTGGCACCCATATGGGATGCCAGCACTGCAGGCGGTGGCTTTGCCTGCTATGCCACAGCGCCAGCCCTACGCTTTTATCTTAAAGAAGAAAAGTCTAGGCAGGTAAGTCTCACTAAAAACTCCTCTGCTTCCAGTAAAGCTTCCTGCCAATGTGCACCCTGGGAGGCAAGAGGTGATGGCTCAAATCCTTGAGTCCCTGCTACCCACATGGGAGACCCAGATGGAGTTTTGGGCTTTTGGCTTTGACCTGGCCCAACCCTAGCTGTTGAGCGCATTGGAGGAGTGAACCAGCAGATAGAATCTCTCTCTCTCTCTCTCTCTCTCTCTGACTTTCCAAAAGCATAATACCGATGACTGCTGGTGCCATTCACTGTTCTGCAATATTTACACAGCAGGGCCCACTTTGTCCTAGCAGCAGCCCTATGGAGTAGGTACTTCAGTTTCTTTGGTTTTATAGACAAGGGAACAGAAGCTGAGCACAACCACACAGCTGGCAGCAGGATCCAAGACCAGCAGGTTAGCTCCAGAGCCTTGCCAGGTAGCCACTACAGAGCCTGTCCCTGCAAGACACAAGAGAAACATTCCATGTTCCAGCTCAGGAGGGCCATCATGACACGCCCTGGTGCTACACAGTCTGTATGTGGTTGACTGCTTTTCTAGAAAGGCCAGCAAAGAACAGAAAATCCACTGTGGTTGCAAAGTGTAAACAGTCCAAGTTCAAGAGAGTCTTCTTATAGCTTTAGCCTGGCAGCTACAGGGACAGGCAGGTGGACCTGGAAAAAACTAGCAGGTGTCTCTGTTGGGTTGAGAACAGGGTGGGGCTCCCAACTCCCTGCTCCCTGGCCTGATGAGGTATCGCTCGTTCCAAATCAGAAACCCCAAGGCAAAGGTAGATGTACAAGTGTTTATGCAAGAACACTCTCAGCAGGGCTACTTAGGATATTTAAAAAAATAGAAATCAGGGGCCGGCGCCATGGCTCACTAGGCTAATCCTCCACCTTGCGGCGCCGGCACACTGGGTTCTAGTCCCGGTTGGGGCGCTGGATTCTGTCCCAGTTGCCCCTCTTCCAGGCCAGCTCTCTGCTGTGGCCCGGGAGGGCAGTGGAGGATGGCCCAGGTGCTTGGGCCCTGCACCCCATGGGAGACCAGGAGAAGCACCTGGCTCCTGCCATCGGATCAGCACGGTGCGCCAGCCGCAGCACGCCGGCCGTGGCGGTCATTGGAGGGTGAACCAACGGCAAGGGAGGACCTTTCTCTCTGTCTTTCTCTCTCACTGTCCACTCTGCCTGTCAAAAAATAAAATAAAATAAAATAAAATAAAAAAATAGAAATCAGGGCAGGAGTCCAGTCTAGCCATCAAAATGCCAACCGAGACACCCACATTCTCTATGGGAGTATTTGGGTTCAAGACCCAGTTCTTGCTCCTGGCTCCAGCTTCCTGCTCCTGTGCACTCTGGGAGGCAGTGGTGGTGGGTCAGGTGGCTGGGCTCCTGTCACCCACGTGGGAGACCAGGTTGAGCTCCCAGATCCCAGCTCTCAGACTTAGTTCAGCTTGACTGCACCTGCTGCAGGCATTTGGAGAATGAACCAGCAAATAAGAAATAAGAGCATGTTCTCTCTCTCTCTCTCTCTCTCTCTCTCTCTCTCTCTCTCTCCCCAATACATAAATAAAAACTTAAAAACAATGGAAGCATCTACCTCTCAAATACATTAAAAATAACAGAAGCAACACAATTGTCGTTCTTTAACAAAGTACAGAAAACACAGAAGTGGAATTATTGGCAGCCATGAATAAGGGTGCCAAAAATGTTGATGACATGGAAAATACTCCCTGTATCTTAATGAGTAAAGTTTCCAATTAGTAGGCATCGTGGACAGCATGTCTTAGTAAATGTCTGTGTGTGTGTGTGTGTGCAAATACAGAGTGAAGAAGAGCATATGTCAAAATCTATATACATGCGCCCAGTGCTGTGACACAGTGGATTAAAGCCCTGGCCTGAAGCGCCAGCATCCCATATGGGTGCTGGTTCGAGTCCTGGCTGCTCCACTTCTGATCCAGCTCTCTGCTGTGGCCTGGGAAAGCAGTATAAGATGGCCCAAGTCCTTGGGCGCCTGCACCCACGTGGGAGACCTGGAAGAAGCTCCTGGCTCCTGGCTTCAGATCGGTACAGCTCCAGCCATTGCGGCCAACTGGGGAGTGAACCATTGGATGGAAAAACTCTCTCTCTCTCTCTGCCTCTCCTCTCTCTGTGTAACTCTGACTTTCAAATAAATAATTAAATCTTTAAAATACAAAATAAAATAAATCTACATCCTACCTACCTCTGGCATCACAATGCCCACCTCCAACCCCAGTGTCATGACCTGGACGCTCTATGACCTTAGGTCAGTCAAGCATTTTCTAAGGCTCAGATTTTTCTCATCAACAAAATGGAAATGACTGTTATTATTATTATTATTTCCGACATTTTCGAAAATGCATATTTTATGATTTTTTTTTTTTTTGGAACAAGAAGCAAAATCCACTTGTTTGGCTGTTCAGAAAAGTGGCGGACCTCATCCTGGAAAATCCGAGAGCCTGTCTGGCCTTGGACAATAGCCGGCCTCAGCCCATTGGGAAGCAGTGGAAGCTCCAGTCCCTGCCTCTGTTTATGCCCAACTTCCTGCTCGATGGCTACACAGACAAGTCCCAGGGGAACGGCAGAGTCAAATGTCCCAAACACAGCTCATCACCCAGGATTTCTCAGACAGAAAAGCCTGCCACCATCTTTTGTCCTTGTCTGGGTCCAGATATTTAAGACATTAGCCCCCAAGCCGCAGGGGCTTTGCTGCCAGACCCTGGACCGCCCCCCCCTTCCTCCCCACCAGCAAACACTCGCTGAATGAATGAATGAATGAGTGCATGAAACAGTGGCTCCACCTCCCTCCAGCAAATCAACCCCCAGCACCCGGAGCAGCAACCCGAACCGTGAGCGCGCACGGTCTCCGTTACCTCCCCGTATGCAACGGTGTTGTTGTATCTTCTCATTTCTGGGTACACGTGGTCCAGGTACCACTGGAAGTTCTTACACTTTAAACTCTTCCTTAACGCTCTTCTTTCGGAGACGTCACCAATGTCAATCCCCGGATTCTGCAGGAAGAGAGATGCCCGGGGGTGTTAGTGACAGGGAGCTCTGTCCAGGGCAAGTCCCCCTCCGCGACACCTTCCAGGGGATCTTTTTATTCTTTTTCTCCCAAAGATTTATTTTTAGCTTTGGAAAGTCAAGAGTTACCGAGAGAGAGAGAGAGAGAGAGCGAGAGCGAGAGAGAGTGAGAGCGAGAGAGCATCCATTGGCTGGTTCATTCCCCAGATGGCTGCAACAGCCAGGGCTGGGCCAGACTGAAGCCAGGAGCCAGAAGCTTCTCGAAGGTCTCCCACATGGGTGCAGGGGCCCGAGCACTTGGGCCATCTTCTACCACTGCTTTCCCAGGTGCGTTAGCAGGGAGCTGGCTGGGAAGTGCTACAGCCGGGACTCAAAGTGGCACGCATGTCGGATGCTGGCATTACAGCCGGTGACTTTACCTGCTGCCCCACAATGCCACACACACCCTCCCCCCCATCAAGAGACAATCTTGAGCCCTGTGAGCTTCCTTCCTGGGAAGGCTGGATTAAAGGGGTCGTCCAGACCTGGCTAGGGAGAACTTCTCCCTGCAGTAGCCCATCCTCCCCATCGGTGCCAATGGGTTCCCGGGGTGGGGAGAGGGAGGCTGAAGAACTACATTCCCAGCTGCTTCTCACCCACATGTCCCCAGTAACGATCCGAGCCAATTACTAGAGAATTATGCGAATAAGACACGAGAGTAAGTGCCCGGACCCGGTCTCCTGTCTTCCTGTTCTCTCTACGTGTAATTGTGCCCTGTGTTGGCTCTTTGTGAAGTTCATTATATGCAGAAGGGAACATAATTTTCCATTGCAAAGCTTGTAATGATGTTCTAATGAATAATTCACTCTGCTCTTACAGAAATGAACCTGCGCTGGGCTGCTGAGAGCTGACAGGGAGAAATAAAGTATCTGGAGTGTGACTCCTCACTCTCCATCACAGGATGGCCAGGACCCAGTGCACACAGGAAGCTCACACAGCTCCGAGGCACAGCCAGGTGGGCATTCTGCAGGCCGGGGAAGAGAGTCTGAATCACCTCATTAACATCTCTCCAACAGCCAAGCAGCAATCTACAGGGAAGTACAATTCAAAGGGAAATCTGAGCAACAACTTTTTGTTTGAAATAGACCTCACGTGGTTAATGAAAATGGCCAGAAGCATGGTAGAGTCCCATTGGCATTCAATCAGAGGCAGTAACACAGTGGATACCTCTTTTTTTTTTTTTTTAATTTATTTGACAGGTAGAGTTATAGACAGTGAGAGAGAGAGAGAGAGAGAGAGAGAGACAGAGAGAAAAGTCTTCCTTCCATTGGTTCACTCCCAAAATGGCTGCTACGGCCAGTGCTACGCCAATCCGAAGCCAGGAGCCAGGTGCTTCTCCTGGTCTCCCATATTGGTGCAGGGCCCAAGGACCTGGGCCATCCTCCACTGCCCTCCCAGGCCACAGCAGTGAGCTGGACTGGAAGAGGAGCAGCCGGGACTAGAACCAGCACCCACATGGGATGCCGGCGCCACAGGTGGAGGACTAACCAAGTGAGCCATGGTGCCAGCCCCAGTGGATACCTTTTATGTATGGATTTCACGTCCCACCCTCTCAGTTACCTGAGGTCAACCATGGCTCCAGGACACCACGTGGAAAATTCCAGAAAGAAACACTTTGTCAATTTCAAATAACTTGTTGCACTATGTTGTGATAATTGTTCTATTTTATTAGTAGTTATTATTGGTTTTTTAAAAATATTTATTTATTTTATTTGAAAGGCAGAGTTACAGAGAGGCAGAGACAGAGAGAGAAAGAAAGAGAGAGTGAGAGAGAGAAGTCCTCCAACCAGTGGTTCACTCCCCAAATGGCCACAATAGCCAGAGCTGAGCCAATTGGAAGCCAGGAGCCAGGAGCTTCTTCTGGGCCTCCCATGCAGGTGCAGGGGCCCAAGAGCTTGGGCCATCTTCTATTGCTTTCCCAGACCATAGCAGAGAGCTGGACTGGAAGAGGAGCAGCCGGGACTCAAACTGGCGGCCATATGGAATGTTTACATTGCAGGCAGTGACTTTACCTGCTATGCCACAGGGCTGGCCCCAGGAGTTATTACTGTTAACCTATTCTATTACCTAATTTGTAAGTTAAACTTTGTCACAGGCACATAAGTAGGTAAAGGGAAAGCCATAATATATAGGTTGACTATGCCTTATTTGAAGTGCAATGTTGTCAATGCACCTGGCAAGGTTGTTAGGAGAATTAAATGAGACAGTGCGATAAGGAACCTATCAAGTACCTGAAACATGAGAGAGGACCCCAAAAAGCTGGAGGAAAACATAAAAAGATGATCAATCTATGCATGGATTTCAATTTTTCTGCACCAGAAATGAACATTTAGATGACCACAACGAAGCCAGGATGAACAAAATCAGAACCTTCTCATGTTTGCAAGTGGACTGAGAGCTTTCTACTGGGCCAATGTCCAGACCCATGCAGGATTTTGCAAGCGTGAGAATCATCCCAGGGAAGAACCATGCACAGGTTCACGACAGGGAGCTGTGACCACCAGGCAGTAAGGGTGGTGGGGACGGACTGCCGGGCCCTACCTCCAGCGGCAGGTTCCACGCGATGTACACGTGAGACTTGTAGTCGTCCATCCAGACCTCGGCCACCCGGAGGGCGTTCCTCTTGGTGTAGAAGCCGATGTTGCTGTTGTATGGCTTCTTCTTGCGCTCGATGTGGGCCACCCGTGAGCAAGGCAGGACCTCCATGCTGCCTCCGCACAGCCACACCTGGGGGCACAGACAGACACGAGGGTTCAGCCAACTCGCCTTGGGTGAGGGATAGCACAGGGGATGTCAGGATTGGTTTGTTCTCGCAGTGCAGCATGGCGTAATCTGACTTAAACACACAAGAAGAACAGTTTAAGAACACTGTTGGTCCACTCCCCAAATAGCTGTAATACCCAGAGCTGGACCAGGCCAAAGCCAGGAGCTAGCAATTCCATCCAGGTCTCCCATAGCAAGAATCCAGGCACTTGGGCCATCTTGTGCTGCCTTCCCACGTTCATTAACAGTGAGTTGTTAGTAGTAAGAAGAGCAGCCGGGACTGGAATCAGCCCTCTGACACAGGATGCCAGGGTCATAAGCAGCAGCTTAACCAGCTGTGCCAACACTGGCCCTGACACTGAACCTCTTAACCAAGAGGGAGATGGTGTTGTGGGGCTTCACACAGGTGTTTCAGAAGGCCTAGCCCGGGTGGCAGGGATAGTGGCTTCCTACCCTGGGTTCTGCAGTGTGGACCAACACAGAGCCGCCGTGCTCTCTTGGAAAGGGGCAGGGGGCTTTCACACTGCTGGGAGTCTTGAGGGCACACTGATCTCTTGGGGCCAGCAAGCCCAGCGTGAATCGCAAGGGGCAGCGTTGGCTTGAGGGATCCCGCAGTGACATCATCAGTGCCCGAGTGCACGCCTGCTTTGATACCACCTGCCCAGCCTCCGTCTACAGCTCAGTCTGCCACCTCCAGTGACACAGACTGCCTTTGGAGTCCCAAGGGTGAGCAACCAGCAGCAGATTCGGTGAGACTGAAAATGACACCAGTGGGCAGCTCGAGCTGCAAAGCACTCTGGGAACACCCGAGAGACGCAGCAGCTCAAAGCTACAATACACGGAAAGGAAGAGGAAATACATGCACGACCTCATTAAACCCTTACAGAAGAGGAAACGGAGGGTGAGAGAGGTGGAGGAAGTTGCTCAAAAGGGGGGAGCTTGAACCCCGACATCAGCCTCACAGGACAGCAGCAGGCCAGTCCTCACTACTCCTGCAGTCCAAGAGGGCGGAGTGACAGCCCACGGGCCTGCAGCATTCCTTAGCTCCATGGAGAGGGGTGGGGACCGGTAAGAGACAGAGCCTTGTGGAAAGTGATTAAGTCATTAGGGGCATTGCTCTCAGCATGGACAAGTGCAGAGGTGACGGAAGTTGTGGCACAGTGCCACACCGGCACCCCCAGAGTGCCAGTTGGAGTCCCAGTTCTTCCACCTCTAATCCATCTTCCTGCTAACACATCCTGGGAGGGAGCCGATGACAGCCAAGCAGTTGGGTCCCTGCACCCACATGAGAGATCAGGATGGAGTTCTGGGCTCCCAGCTTTGGCCTGGTCCAGCCATTTGGGGAGTGAGCCAGCTGAGGGAAGACGCCCTCTCTCTTTCTCTCTCTGCCTTTCAAATAAATAAATGGATTAAAAGAATTTAATGTTTTTATAATTTAATTCAAATAAATAAGTGGATTAAATGGATTTAAAAGAACGGATTAATATAGTTCTCGTGGGACCTTGGTTAGTTCTCTCGAGTAAGTCATTATCGCGCTAAGCCCACCCCCATGCGTTTGCCCTCTCCTGCAACATGGCCGTGTTCTTTTTTGTTTCTCTGCCACCACGTGACACAGTCAATAGGGCCCTCATCAGAGGCTGAACAAAGAAATTTGCTTAATTCTGGAGTTTCAATCTTCAATGCTAAGAGCTAAATACACCTTGGGGACTTTGTTGTAAATGACAGACAATGGACAAGCTGTGTAGAGTTGAGGGGATAGGCAGGGTCTACCCTTGGCAAGGGCTTCTGGGCTGTGTTTAGGAAATCGGTCTTTGTTCTACCACAAAGGCACTGAAGGACTGGGGTTTGAAAAGCTTGTAGTGTAGAAAACAGATCAGCAGCAAGAAGAAGGGAGAAGTCAGTAGGTCTGGCTGGGAAAAACAATAGAAAGAGACACTGGATGGATTTATCAATTTATTTGAAACAGAAAGAAAGGGACAGACACAGAGAGAGCAAGCACTCCATCCTCTGGTTCACTCTCCAAATGTCTGCAATGGCCAGGGCTGGGCCAAGGCCAAAGCTAGCCAGAGAAGGCCATCCAGGTCTCCTATCTCCTATCAGCTGTGACCTGAGCCTTCACAGCTGCCTCAGCAGGAAGCTGGAGTCAGCAGAAGGAGTGAGAAGTGGAACTCAGATACTCTGATGTAGGATGTGGGCATTTTACTGGGCCCCCCTGACCCCAAGGCCAAACACCCCCACCAAGAGATTTTTTTTAAGATTTATTTATTTACTTGAAAGTCAAAGTTACATAGAGAGAGAAGGAGAGGCAGAGAGAGAGAGAGAGTGAGCGAGAGAGAGGTGTTCCATCTGTTGGTTCACTCCCCAGTTGGCCACAACGGCTGGAGCTATGCCTATCCAAAGCCAGGAGCCAGGAGCTTTTTCCAGGTCTCCCAAACAGGTGCAGGGACCCAAAGACTTGGGCCATCTTCTACTGCTTTCCCAGGTCACAGCAGAGAGCTGGATCGGAAGTGGAGCAGCTGGGACTTGAACCAGCGCCCATATGGGATGCTGGCACTGAAGGCGACAGCTTTACCTGCTACACCACAACACTGGCTCTCCCCTCAACAGATTTTTAAAAGGCAAAATCATCAGGAATGGATTGGATGTGGCTGGCAGAGAGAAGGGTTGAGAATGACTCCCATCATCAAACAAGGCCAAAGTGGGCATTTCCAGAACTGGACATCACCTGGTTCATGGGCTCCAGGGGCAATTTTGATGTTTCCCCCAAAGTCCTTCCTTCAAGGGTTGGAGGGAAAATCTGGCATGGCTCATAGGTTCCCAAACCTGGTCGTGTCTCCACATCACCAAGGGAGCTCTCTAGAGTGACCAATGTCTGGAGCCCGCCCCAGACCCAGGAACCCCACTCCTGGGGTACAAAGCTGAGACACTGGCACATGTGATAGCTACCTCGGGGAAACCACAAACCTGGAAGACTTTTAGTATCTTTTCCAGGGCTGGAAGTTCATGACTCTTTTTTTTTTTTTTTTTTTTTTGACAGGCAGAGTGGACAGTGAGAGAGAGAGAGACAGAGAGAAAGGTCTTCCTTTTGTCATTGGTTCACCCTCCAATGGCCGCCATGGCCAGTGCGCTGTGGCCGGCGCACCACGCTGATCCGAAGGCAGGAGCCAGGTGCTTCTCCTGGTCTCCCATGGGGTGCAGGGCCCAAGCACTTGGGCCATCCTCCACTGCACTCCCAGGCCATAGCAGAGAGCTGGCCTGGAAGAGGGGACAACCGGGACAGAATCCGGTGCCCCGACCAGGACTAGAACCCAGGGTGCCAGCGCCACTAGGCGGAGGATTAGCCTGTTGAGCCACGGCGCCGGCCATGACTGTTTTATAGAGGCCTGTTTTATATGCCCTGCCAATGCCTACACAGCTGGATGAAGGTTCCGGGGTCTTCTGGAAGAGGCATGGGCATCCGATGATCTGGGTACTGCACTGCCCTGGCCACATTCTCTGCCAGGTCTCTGTCACCAAGAGCCGGGGAGGAAAGTGAGGGAGGCTGAGGCTACCACCTTGGTGGAAGTGAGGAGAGGGGTGGAAGAGGCCAAAAAGCGAATGCCAATGCTACTGGCTTGTTGATGGTGACCATTCTCTCAGACTGTGGGCTCTAGACATTTTTGATCTGTTCAAAATTGCAAAGGCGCCCTCTCTGGTATGTTCACTGAACATTTTTTTAAAAATTTTTTTTATTTTAAAGGCAGAGTTACAGCAAGAGAGGCAGAGAGCAAGAAAGAGCAAGATCTTCCACCTGCTGGTTCACTCCCCAGATGGCCTAAACGGCCGGAACCAGGCTGACCCAAAGCCAGAGCCAGGAGATTCTTACTGGTCTCCCACGTGGGTGCAGGGGTTCAAGCACTTGGGCCATCTTCCATTGCTTTCCCAGGTGCATTAACAGGGAGCTGGATCAGAAGTGGAGCAGGGCTGGCGCTGTGGCTCAATAGGCTAATCCTCCCTCCGCCTTGCGGCACCGGCACACTGGGTTCTAGTCCCGGTCGGGGCGCTGGATTCTGTCCCAGTTGCCCCTCTTCCAGGCCAGCTCTCTGCTGTGGCCTGGGAATGCAGTGGAGGATGGCCCAAGTCCAAGTGCTTGGGCCCTGCACCCCATGGGAGACCAGGAGAAGCACCTGGCTTCTGCCTTCGGATCGGTGCGGTGCGGTTAGGTGCGCCGGCTGCGGTGGCCATTGGAGGGTGAACCAACGGCAAAGGAAGACCTTTCTCTCTGTCTCTCTCTCTCTCTCACTGTCCACTCTGCCTGTAAAAAAAAAAAAAAAAAAAATGGAGCAGCCAGGACTTGAACCGGCGCCCCCATGGGGTGTCGACCTTGCAAGCAGTGGTTTTACCCACTACACCACAGTGCTGGCCTCATGTTTTACTCCTTTTTAAATCATGTGCATACACTACTATGCCATTGACATTCAGTGTCTTTGAGAGATTACCTCTAGCAGCCTCTATAGATGGTGAAATCTGTGGGTGCTCAAGTTCTTTATGGAAAATGGTGTAGTGTTTGCATAGAATCTACACATATCATCCCATACACTTTACATCATCTCTAGGTGGTGGATAATACCTAATGCAATGGAAATGCTATGTAAACAGCTGTTCTACTGTATTGGTTAGGGAATCATGACAAAGAAAAAAAAAGTCTGTACGTGTTCAGTACAGACACAAAGTAAAAATACATGCACTTTCAGGGCTGGTGTTATGGTGTACTGGGTAAAGCTGCCCCCTGCAGTGCCAGCATCCCATATGGGTGCTGGTTCAAGTCCCAGCTGCTCCACTTCTGATCCTGCTATGGCCTGGGAAAGCAGTAGAAGATGGCCCAAGTCCTTGGGCCCCTGCACCCACATGGGAGACCCAGAGGAGGCTCCTGGCTCCTGGCTTTGAATCAGTTCAGATCCAGCTGTTGCGGCCAGTGGGGGAGT